AACTGAACGCCAGCACAGAACGCCAGTCCACAACAATCAAGGTAGGAGGATGGGGGCTGAACCACGGCAAAGGCAACCACCTCCTCTACCTCATCGGTCAGTGCTGCTGCGGAAAAAAACTAAGGCACTACGACGCAGTAAGGACCTCCACGGACAAGCCCTACGCGAAATGCGGGTGTTGAGGCCTTATCTACCAGCAGGCCAAGGCATAACAGGGGAGATTGCTAGACGTATTGCTGCAGTCAGGGTAGCATGGAGGCAGTGCGGCATCTTTTGGACATCTAAGGTCCAACGCCAGATTAAACGAATGATGTACATGGCCGTGGGTAGTTGGCGCAGCGCTTAGCGGTCTAACAGCCTTCGTCCTCACCGAGACCCACACCCAGGCGATCGACAGTGTACTAGCGAAATGCCTACGCACACTAGCGGGGGGAGCTATCTCGTGGACTGGGGCCGACGGAACAGTGCGATGCAACCACCTGCGACAGGTGTTCAGGTACTGGAGGCTAGAGCGCACAGCAGTACCATTACTAGTGCGCAGGTTGCGGTGGTATCAAGACGGGTCTGGACACCCGTGGGAACACGGGGCAGAGATAGCGGCGGTCTTCGGCGCATCTAGACTAGACGCCTCCCTGGGCATCAGGAGACTATCCGATCAGAACTTTGCGTGCCCCACGTCGGCCCCTTGGGCTCAACGGTTATCGGCGGACATGCAGGCGCTTGCGAAGGTGGACGACAGTGTGGGATGGCACGAGCAGCGGGACTCCGATCTAGCGATCTTTGAACCAGGTAGCCCCGAACAGAAGCAGTGGCTCCAGGCAGACCCGTCTGCACTGTACAGTTGCGAGCGAAACGGGAACATACTAACGACACGTGACGACACAGTACGGGGGCAGGAGGGACACGAGGAGGAGCTACTTTTAAACCCTACTGGTGCGACTACACGACGACGGAAGACGATGGAACGGAACAAATGCGTGGACAGCGTTTCCCTACCTATGCTGCGTTAGCTGGGCACTGTTGTGGCGTCCGTAGTCGTCAACAACCAGTGCCCGTGGTGCAAACGTACCTTCGTGAACAAAGAAGGTGTGTGTTGACCACGCCACGCGTGCGGTACACGGACACGGGGCCTGCCACCAAGATAGATCAATGTGGGCACCTCC